AGGTGATATCTTGTATCGATTCATGTTAGCCATAGTTGTTACGGCGTCGCTTAGGCGCCGACTAGGCGTCCAGTCGCTGGGAAGGGGTCGCCAAGAGTCGTCGCCTCGCCGGAAGAAGAATAGGCGACTATGGCGTCATCCTGTCGTCGTCTAGTCGTCCGTTTGGCGATAAGGCGTTCGCCTTAGCGTACATAACAGAGTAATCTTTCGTAGTCCAAACTGAAGGCCCAGATTTAGTTTTTGGAAACAAAGTTTTAGACAATTAAAATAAAGCCCAAATCTTACTTGACCATTTGTAAACTCAACCTTCGTCCCGTACAACTCCCGTCGCAGCCTCGCAGGAAAGAAGTCAAGCATCCGACATCGCTCCCAGGTTTTATGGGTTAATTCGGTGTTTTTTTTAGTCACTTGTTCTTTCTATTTCTTCTAGCAGTAGAACACCCACATGCGAGCAATTGAGAATTGTGCGAGCTTATTTCTTCTTCTAGTGTACCTTACTACCTTATCTAATACTGCAAGTGGACCAGTGTGCTTTTTTGGCAGTGGGAAGAGGCCTAGTGGGACTCAAAGTAAATCTAATAGACTAATACTATGTATTTATATATTAATATACTTCGTATATAGCGGATCTTTTCATAAAAATGTAAGTTCTTTTCTTTGTTGTGTTTCATAAACATATTTTTATAGCAGTTTATTAGTATATTAATATATTTAGATTTTAGATTGAATAATACAGTAAATAATGTATATAATTATATAATATATTATAAATTTATATATGTGCGACTAGTCGCCTAAGTGTCGCCTAGGCGGGCGCCTTGTCGCCTGGGCAATATGGCGTTCGGCTGGCGCCGCGACTCGCCTTACCGCCGTGACAAGCATGATGTTAGCCAAACCCCAATATCTTTTGGGAGTAAGGCTTGGATGTTGTTGTTGTATTTAATTTTATTAAGTTAGCGTTTTATTCAGCAGGCCCTAACAGCCCCAAAATCCCAAACCAAATGTCCGCAGTTTTTTAAAATAGCCTACGCATCGCCATGGCGATGGCGATAAAATGGCGATGGCGACATAATGGCAACGCCATGCGTATACCCAACGCCACAGCCCATTTTATGGCGCAGAGGCCTTTTCCGCGCCTCATGGCGCATGGCACGCCATTGACAACCATGGTCATATACTCATATGGCTAGTGCAGAGGATGCTGAATTGCTGATAGAACACTAAACTCCAATCACTGTAATTCTGTATTGAAAGTAAAATCCGGATCAACAGAACCCGAATTACAACGAAAGAAGAAGAAATACAGTAAAATAATGAAGATAGCTAAAGTTTTTAAGAGCCCTCTCTCTCTCTCTCCCTTTCCCCCACCCGATTCCAGTGTCTAACAGCCTGCCTCAACATTCCTCTTTTCCCGCCTATATTCCCTCCCCTTTCCACGTAATACAATTCAGGTAGGACATTCTCCCTCTCCAACTACTTGATTTACTCTTTTACCCTGCCTTTGGTACACTTTAGAAAATCTTTCCTTATTATTAATATTAATAATGGGTTGTTCTATTTTGTCTGGATCTCTATCATCTCTCTCTCCTTCAAAAACCACTTTGTCCTCAAGGTGAAAATTTGGGTATTGGTGTTTCAACTCATTTAGAACCTCCCAAGAGTCCTCAAACTCAAAGTCTGGCAAATGTTTCCAGTGCACTAAGACTTCCCACTCTCGGCCCTGGTTTCTCCTTACCTGCTTTACCAGCTCTGATTGTGCCTGTAACTTTGATAGGGACCCGGCTAGTTTACTTAATAAGAATAAGTTCTTTGGACAAGTTTATTCTAGAAGGCCCAAGTAGATTAGTTAGTTATTAGTTGTTGTTGTTGTTAACTAATAACTACCCTCTCCTTTCGGAGGGATATAAATAGTATTAGAAAATATATGAGAAGAAAGATAAACTGATCTTATTGATTGTGAAAGAAGATACAAAGTATTTATAGACTGGCCAGGTCATACAAAGCTCAGCTCAAACTAACTCAACAAAGTCAACAATAATACTAAACAGACTAACAAACATAACCGACTATCTATTAGTCTGTCTAACATTCCCCCCTCAAAGTTAGGGTGATTGAGGACTGAAATCAATCACACTAAGTTTGTTCTTCAGTTCCAGAAATCTAGAGGCAGACAATGGCTTGGTCAGTATATCAGCCAGTTGATGTAGTGCAGGAATGTGAAACTTCAAGCTGTTTTAGTTGCACCTTTTCTCTTACAAAGAAAAGGTCAATCTCCATATGTTTAATTCTGGAGTGTAGAACTGGATTATGAGCAAGCTGAACAGTGCTGAGATTGTCATAATAAACTCTGGGAATAGTAAATTGGACTTGAAGTTCTTTTAGCAGAAACTGTATCCATAGAAGCTCTGCTGCAGTGTCTGCTAGACTTCTATATTCTGCTTCTGCAGAGGATCTTGCAACACGAATTTGTTTTCTGGACCACCAGGAAATAATGTTGGATCCATGAAAGATGCAAGAGCCTGAGGTTGACTTTCTGTCTGTGGGATATGATGCCCAATCAGCATCACAAAATGCTGAAAGAGGAAGATGCATGGATGACAAGGGTAGAGGTTTGATGATAAGCCCATGAGTGATAGTGCCAGAAAGATAGCGTAGGATATGCTTTACTGCCTGCCAGTGTTCCTCCTGTGGTGTGGCCATAAATTGGCAAACTTTATTAACAGCAAAACATAGTTCAGGTCTAGTAAGAGTGGTATATTGCAGAACTCCAACTATAGACATGTAGGAAGAAGGATTAGGTAGATAGTTGCTGCCTTCATTGGTGAGTTTACAAGTGCTGACCATGGGGGTTTTTGTTCCTTTGGATTCAAGCATACCAGTCTGATTTAGAAGATCTCTTATGTATTTGGCCTGAGAGAGATGAAGACTTCCATCAGGAAGTTTGCGTGCTTCTATTCCCAAAAAGAAATCTAAATCTCCAAGATGTTTAAGAGAAAAAGATGAATCCAGTTTCTGAATGAGCTGAGCAACAGCAGTGGAGTTATTCCCAATGACTAAGATATCATCAACATATATCAATATGTATATCTGAAATTCAGATGAGAGAAAGAAGAGCAAAGATGGATCACACTTGCTTTGCTTGAAACCAGCAGTATATAGGACTGAAGTAAGCTTAAGAAACCAAGCTCTAGGAGCTTGTTTGAGACCGTAGAGAGACTTATGAAGCTTACAAACCAATGAAGTGTCCTGAACCTGAAAGCCTGGGGGTTGGATCATGTATACTTCTTCATCAAGTACTCCATTCAGGAATGCATTGTTCACATCAAGCTGCTGGATAGCCAGTGATTTGATATAGCAATGGTAAGAAGAATTTTGATGGTGATGGGCTTCACTACGGGAGAGAAGGTTTCTCCAAAATCAAAGCCAAACTTATGGTGAAAACCTTTAGCCACCAGCATGGCCTTATACTTATTTAAAGAGCCATCTGAATTTTCCTTTATTCTATAGACCCATTTACACCCAATGGCTTGCTTGTCTGGAGGTAGAGGCACAAGAGTCCAAGTATTGTTAGATATTAGAGCATCATATTCAGTTTTCATGGCCTCAAACCATTCAGGTGAAGAGAGAGCTTGCTTAACTGATTTTGGCTCAACATGTGCTAACAGTAAGGTGGGATTAAGCCTAGGTTTCACTATTCCAGACTTGGCTCTAGTTCTCATGGGATGAGTGTTAGTTTCAGGGACTAATGGAGCAGTAAATGGAGAGGATGAGTGAAATTCATTGTGAATTGAGGTTGCATCGGGAGGAGAAGAAGACTGTGATGAGGATTCATGATTATTAGAGTGAGTGAGAAGAGACTGACTGATGTGAAACAGAATGGGATGAGTCTGTTTTGGATGAAGTAGGTGAAGAGGAAGATTGATCTGAAGAGGTGGAAGTTGGATTTATGAAAGATGATGAGGTAGAATCTTGAAGAATGGTTAAAGGTATAGAAATAGGGATGGATGCAGTTGGTTGCTCTGTAGAAGAAGAGGAAGGGAAGAGTGTATTGTAGGGAAATTTAGATTCATTGAATATGACATCTTTAGAGAGATATATCTTGCCTGAAGGTGACAGACACTTGTACCCTTTATGGTTTGAGGAATAGCCTAGAAAGACACATTCCTTAGAATGAAAATTGAGTTTATGTTTATTATAAGGGCGTATAAAGGGGTAACAAGAGCAACCAAACACTTTTAAGAAGGAATAATCTGGGAGAGAGCCATACAATTTGAAATATGGGATTGAGTTGGAAACTGATTTGGAAGGAGTTCTGTTGCTCAGATGGACAGCAAAGGCTGCATCCTATAATTTTAAAGGAAGAGATGAATGAGAAAGAAGGGATAGTCCATTTTCCACAATTGTTTTATGTTTACGCTCAACAACACCATTTTGATGGTGTGTATGGGGACAGATGAGTCTCTGAATGATTCCTTTTTCAGAAAGTAGTTTGGTGAAGGATCTAAACTCACCTCCCCAGTCAGATTGTATGGATTTAATAGAGACAGAAAATTGATTAAGAACATATTGATAAAAGTTGGTGAATGCAAGAAGAGCATCAGATTTTCTTTTAAGGAAATAGATCCATGTGTATCTTGTACATGCATCTATGAATGAGATGTAGTAAGTATAGCCATCAAAGGAATTGATAGGGGCAGGTCCCCACAAATCAGTAAACACAAGATCAAAAGGTGAATTGAAAATGGTGGTAGAAGCAGATGATGGTAATCTGTGAGCCTTACCAAGACAGCATGCTGAACAAAAATCAACATTATCTTTATCGATATAAGGAATATTACAAAGTTGAAGAACATATTTCAATGCCTCAAGATGAGGGTGGCCTAGTTTAAGATGCCACAAATTACATGTTTGCAAAACATTACAAGACTTGGAGTTATTACAAGTATTCAAAGAAAGACTAGGTAATGTTGAAACATTGGCAGACTGGACTGGTGCTAGTGCAACTGATGGATGTGAGTGTAGAGGAATTGACTGAAACTTGTAGAGACCATCTTCTCTAAGAGAACCATGTAAAAGGATTTGCTTAGAAACCTGCGATTTGACAAAACAATCATAAGGATGAAACTCAAAGAAAACAAGGTTATCTTTTGCAAATTGACTGACACTTAAGAGATTTTTAGTGATAGTGGGAACATGAAGAATGTTATTAAGTGAGAGATGCATAGATGAATGATAAGGTGAAGGAAAAATAGAAGAACCTATAGACTTAATATCCACACCTTGACCATTACCCATGAAGAGTTTATCAGTAGTAGCAAGAGTCTCACTACGTTGAAGGTTGAGAGGATCAGCTGTCACATGATGCGTGGCACCAGAATCCGGGAACCAGCTTTGAGATTGTGGTGCAGGTCCTAGGACAGATGGAGTAGCATAGGCCCAAACAACACTTGGTGAGGGATTAGATGAGGTATGATAGGGTGCAGGAATATAGGTTGGAGCATTGAGAGGGTTATTATAGGGTGCAGGATTCTGAAGGGTTAAAGGATTGTTGGTTCCAGTTGAAAGGTTGTGGAGGTGGAGTAAGATGATTTGGACCAGTAGGATGAGGAATGTGGGAAGTTGATCTTTGTGATGATGAATTGGGTGATGGATTTGGATACTGTGAGTATTGAGGAATTGGTGCAGGTGCAGTATACGCTGGATCATATCGATGATAACATATAAGGGCATGATGTCCATTTTTGCCACAGACTTTGCAAACAACCGGATTTCTTCCACCAAAACGACCACCACCACGGCCTCTGCTAGAATTTCCACGACCTCTGCCTCGATAAGAGTGATTTTCCGAGTTGTTGTACTGAGCAACTTGAACTGAAGCATTATCTGAAGGAGCTTGAGATATTGGAGCAGTATTCTGAAGGGATATTTCAAGCCGAGCAACATTAGCAGAGAACAATGTCTATTGTGAGGAATCACGAAGTTTTTGCAGACACATTTCTTTTGCAGATAAGAGAGACTCAACTTCAGAGAGAGTGACAGGATCTAGAACACTTGTAGAGGATATAGATGAAGCTAGAGATTCATATTCCTCAGGGAGACCTTCGAGAATAACATTCACATGATCCTTCGCAGAAATAGGTTCTCCGATAGAAGTTAGGTTATCAACAATAGTCTGTATGCGTAGAAGATAAGCAGAGATTGATCGATCACCTTTGACAGTATTATAGAGCTCGGATTTAAGTTGTCTTGCTTTTGCGATGATGTGCGAGTGAAAATACTTCGTTATTTTAGTCCATAGTTGATGCGAATGCCTGCAGTGAATGACTCTGGCATGAAAAGTTTCAGATAGAGACGTCAGAAGCCATGAAAAGAGCATCTGATCTTGTTGTTCCCAGTTGGTGTATGCTTCATTATCGACTCCATTGGATTCATCTTCGCGACTAAGAAATCGAACTGGAATTTTAGGTTTTATCAGATATGGAAGTAGTTTGTGAGCACGAACAACTGATTCAACATGGTGCTTCCAGAAAAGGAAATTGTTGGAGTCTAATTTTACGGGAAGAGGATGCATAAAGATTATTGGAGTTGTTTTGGTGGTGGAAGAAGAACTGGAGGTGGAATCTGTAGTTTCGGTGGTCGCCATTAATGGATCGAGCAGAGCTCTGATACCATATTAGAAAATATATGAGAAGAAACATAAACTGATCTTATTGATTGTGAAAGAAGATACAAAGTATTTATAGACTGGCCAGGTCATACAAAGCTCAGCTCAAACTAACTCAACAAAGCCAACAATAATACTAAACAGACTAACAAACATAACCGACTATCTATTAGTCTGTCTAACAAATAGAATAAGTCAGCTATAGGAAGGCAGGCTTTTGGACCTCTAAACTGGGACTGTGAAAGCGGGAGTTCTATCTCATACTTTTGGGCTTGTATATTGATTACTGTTTCTTGTTGAATAAGATTTCTCCTGTTGATTTCTGATCTTTGTCCTTGTGATTGATCTGTTTGTGTGTGAATTACTGGATTATTGCTTGTAATCTGTCTGTATTTCCGAGGTACCTATCATTGGTATGAGAGACTGGCAATCGCTGGATGAGATATACGCTCGCCAAAATGGAAGGAGGAATGAATGAGGTGGAAAGAAATATGGTGGAATTTGGAAGGAATCAAAGAGAAATGCATGATCGACTGGAACAGAGGATGCGAGAATTACAGAACAATATGGCGGATAACATGGCTGAGAAATTTGCTTATATGAGCAAGGAGCTATCAACTAAGTATCTGACCAAATCCATTTATGAAAAAGAGCTTATGGCCATAGTTTTTGATGTCCAAAAATGGAGACATTACCTTTTGGGAAGACACTTTGAGGTCCACACTGACAAAAAGAGTTTGAAGTATTTAACTGAGCAAAAGGTCATGGGGGAGGATCAATAAAGGTGGATAGCTAAGCTTATGGGGTATAACTTCATAATCAAGTACAAGCCGGGAATAGAAAACAAAGCAGCTTATCCCGTTCAAGGAAATCAACTTATGCAGCTCTATCTACAGTCACATGCCAAGAGTGGAATGGGTTGGAGGAAGAATTGCAAAGGGACAGTAAATGTGGGGAAATTATACAAAGGATGATGGTACAACCAGATCAATACAAGGATTACACAATGAAAGGGGGATTATTATACTATAAAGGGAGGTTGAGGTTACCCCAAAGGTTCCCCCAGAATATTATCCGTTCTCAAGGAGTACCATGACTCAGGGGGTCACTCTGGCTATTTCAGGACAATGAAGAGGATTTCAAATCTGTTCTTTTGGGAGGGAATGAAAGCTGAAATTAGAGATTATATCCAAGGGTGTGAAGTATGCCAAAGAAACAAATATCAGGCTCTAAAGCCTGCAAGATTGTTGCAACCCTTACCTATACCTATACCCAAGTCATAGGGTAAGGATACAATTATGGTAGTGATTGACAGGTTGACCAAGTTTTCACACTTTATTCCACTTGCACATCTTTTCAATGCTAAAGGAGTGACTGGAGTCTTTATTCAGGATGTGGTAAAGATTCATGGATTTTCCAGGTCCATTTTTAGTGACAGAGTGATATGAAGCAGAATCTGGGCTTGGAAGAACAGGGGAAGAAGCCCCCGTGGGTTTACTGAAGGCGGGATGGGCTTGAGCCCACCTCCGTGGGCTGGTTACGGGCTGCTTAATTAATATTTATTCTTTTTAATTGTCCTGATTTGTTTCCAATTAGGAGTTAATTAGGATTTCTAATATTTGTTTCCTATTAGGAGTTGATTAGAATCTCTATTATTTCTTTCCTATTTAAAGTTGATTAGGATCTTTATTATTCTGTTTCCTAGTTGGAGTTGATTAGGATCTCTAGGATTTTGTTTCCTAGTTTAAGATTTAGTAGATGGGAATTTAAACCCCTTGTTAGGATTCATTCTTGCTCATCTTGGAATAAAAGTTGGTTTAGCCTTTTGGCTCTGGGCAACAGTATTTATTTATCGTTGATTATCTGGGCAACGGTTCACCCCGTTGATTTTTTTTTTTCTGTTCGTATCACAGAGATAGTCTATTCCTCAGTACTTTCTGGTCTGAATTGTTCAAATTAGCTGGAACAAAGCTAAGGTACAACACTGCATATCATCCTGGAAGTGATGGGCAGATTGAAGTGGTGAATAGATGTCTGGAAACTTATCTAAGGTGCATTACAGGTCAGAAACCTCGGCAGTGGGTGAAATGGCTCCCTTGGGCTGAGTATTGGTTTAACACCAACTATCATAACTCACTAAGAGGTATCCCTTATCAAGCTCCATTTGGGCAACCTCTTTCCCTATAATCAGGGGAGATGTGGGGAGATGTGGAAGTGACTGCAGTAGAAGAAGTAGCTAAATTGACTGCTGAAAGGAACATGATGTTGTCTGAATTGAAGGAAAATCTGGCTAAAGCTCAGAACTTGATGAAGCAATAAGCTGATAAGCATAGGAGGGAAGAAAAGTTAGAAATTGGAGACAAGGTTTTTCTGAAGATACAACCCTATAAGATGAAGAGTCTGACCAAAAAGATTAACCAAAAGCTCAGTCCTAGGTTTTATGGTCCATTTGATATCATTGAGAAGCTGAATCCTGTAGCATTCAAACTCAAACTGCCTGAAGGAAGTAGAATACATCCTGTATTCCACATTTCCTTACTGAATAAAGTACTGAAGCCAACTGTACACTATCAGAATCAAGGTTGTGAATTGCAGGTGAGACCTAAAGATGTGAGAGATTTCAGGGTAAATCAGGAAGGGAAGAAGGAGGTTCTTATACACTGGAAGGAACTTCCTGACTTTGAAGACTCATGGGAGGATGCTCAGATGATTAAAGACCAGTTCCCAGATCTCCAACTTGAGGACAAATTGGTAGTTCAAGAGGGGGCATTGATAGGGACCCGGCTAGTTTACTTAATAAGAATAAGTTCTTTGGACAAGTTTATTCTAGAAGGCCCAAGTAGATTAGTTTGTTATTAGTTGTTGCTGTTGTTAACTAATAACTACCCTCTCCTTATGGAGGGATATAAATAGAATAAGTCAGCTGTAGGAAGGCAGGCTTTTGGACCTCTGAACTGGGAATGGGAAAGCGGGAGTTCTATCTCCTACTTTTGGGCTTGTATACTGTTTACTGTTTCTGGTTGAATAAGATTTCTCCTGTTGATTTCTGATCTTTGTCCTTGTGATTCATCTGTTTGTGTGTGAATTACTGGATTATTGCTTGTAATCTGTCTGTATTTCCGAGGTACCTATCAAACTTCCATTCTTCAGACAGACAGCTTGGCAGTGGCTTGGCAGTGGTTGGCACTGTGCATTGTTTGTCAAGGATTTCTTTAACAAGGATATGTGGAACACAGGATGTACTGCACACCCCTCAGGTAACTTCAGCTTGTAAGCTACCTCATTGATCTTCTCACTGACCTCAAAGGGCCCATAAACCTAGGGCTCGGTTTTTTATTGATCTTCTTAGCCATGCTTCAATTTGTAAGGCTGAATCTTGAGGTAAACCCGATCCCCTGCTTCTAGTTGCACCTCTCGCCTTTGTCTATTAGCTTGTTGCCTCATTCTATTCTGAGCCAGAGTTAAGTTCTTCTTCAATTCTTCTAACATTTCATGCATCTCAGCGGTTAGTTTAACCACCTCCTCCTTTGATGATCTAGTGGTGTCTCCCTTTATCAAGTCTGATGACACATGCTAAACAGGTATTGCTAAGAGTGTTTTGGTCGATCAACTATTCTTGCCAAATGCTCCTTATATTTTATGTTGTAGGTTTTAGGAAATAATCTTCCTTGAATATTATTGAGCCATCCCGCAGTAGTATATATACAGAGTACAGATAACAAGATAACAACCTTACTGTTCAGATCCTAAATTATAGGATCTATCTAACTACGAACTTATCTACTAATTAAAGAAGTCTATCAGCTCTACATTCTTATCTATACACTACACACGTACATTAAATAAAAATTACAAACACATGTCACATTTTTCTACACTCCCCCTCAAGTTGGTAAGTATATATCATACATTCTCAACTTGCTTATAAGTAGTTCAAACACTGGTTTGAACAATCCCTTTGTGAAGATATCACTTGTTTGTTCTTTGGTAGATATGAATGGAGTACACACAATCCCAGCCTCAATCTTTTCTTTGATAAAGTGTCTGCTCACTTCAATATGTTTAGTACGATCATGTAGCACAAGATTATGAGCAATATTGATGGCTGTCTTATTATCACAATATAACTTCATAGGTAGATCCATCTTCATATTGAGTTCTGAAATTACTCTCTTGCTCCAAAGTAGTTCACAGATTTCATTAGCCATAGATCTAAATTCAGATTCTGCATTACTCCTATCAACCACATTCTGCTTCTTACTTCTCCAAGTCACCAGATTTCCCCATACATAGGTACAATACCCAGAAGTAGATCTTCTAGCAGTAATTGAACCAGCATAGTCTGCATCTGTAAAAGCCTAAACAGTTCTACGGTTGCTTTTTCTAAAGAATAATCCTTTCCCTAGACAACTTTTCAAATACCTTAGAATTCTGTCAGTGGCATCAAGATGTTCCTGGAATGGATTATGCATAAACTGACTAACCATACTAACTGCAAAAGCAATGTCTGGCCTTGTATGTTCCAAATAAATCAATCTTCCCACCAATCTTTGATATTACTAAACATTAACTGGAACTCCCTCTTTGACATCTCCCAGCTTTTGATTAGGGTCAATTGGGGTATCTATTGGTCTGCATGCACTCATACCTGTTTCTTGAAGAAGGTCTAGCCGTCTAGTACATACTTCCTCTGTGATACTACAATTCCTTTCTTTGATCAAGCTATCTCCATGCCCAGATCTTTGACCTCTCCTGGGCTAGTTTCTCCTTCAGGCTTGCAGTTTCTTTATAATAAACAATTAATATTTCAATCTCCCCCTCACTTGAAAATTTCATAAAAAGGGTATGATCAGTTTGAGCTTCCTGGAATCCCTGTCTCTTTATGAACTGAGTGAACCTGTCAAACCAAGCCCTTGGGGACTGTTTAAGTCCATACAAGGCTTTCTCCAATCTGCATACCTTTGAGCGATATTTACCCTCAAATCCCAGAGGAGGACTCATGTACACTTCCTCTTCAAGTTTTCCATTTAAGAAGACATTCTTCACATCTAACTGTTGAAGTGGCCAATCTAAGTTAACAACTAACTGTTGATAGAGAATCCTTATAGTATTTAATTTTTCGACTGGAGCAAAGGTCGCAATATAGTCTATACCATATGTTTGTGTATACCTTTGGCAACCAACCTGGCCTCATATCTTTCAAGTGTCCCATCTGCCTTGAACTTAGGAGTAAAAACTCATCTACAACCTACAATTGGTTTGTTCTTGGGTAACTCTACAACCTATCATGTCTGATTCCTTTCAAGAGCATCCATCTCTTCCAAAACTGCTTTCTTCCACTCAGGTTTAGATAGAGCTTCCTGTATGGTTAAGGGAATTGCAATAAAGGAAAGACTAGAGGTAAATGCTGCAAATGATAAGGATAACTGGGAATAAGACACATGGTTTGAGATAGGGTATTTGACACATGACCTTTTCTTTTTTCTGAGAGCAATTGGTAAATTTAGATCACTGGAATTATTACCTTTCTCATTTGCTGGCATTGAGTCTATTAGGAATATAGTCAGTTAGAATTATACCTAACTGAACCGACTACTGTTAGCTTCTTGTATAGTAGTTAGATTCTAGCAGCTTCCTTTCCCTTTCTATAAATAGAATGTAATATGGACTACAGATCAATAATACGATTCTAATCATTTCTCTTGAATTCTGTTGCTCTCTGTTTATCAATATGGTATCAGAGCTTTGAGATTCGCGATCATGGTTACTTCCTCCACAACCACCGCCACTTCCGCTGCCGGTGAGCTTTTCTCATCCCCTACCTCTCAAACTAGATTCGAATAACTATCTCTTCTGAAGCATCACGTTGAATCTGTCCTTCGTGCTCACAAACTCCTGAAATATGTGATTGACCCTGAAATACCTTCGAGATACATTGCTGATGAGAACGAAGGAGAAAGTCAGACGATCAACGAAGCATATGTTACCTGGGAACAACAGGACCAGATGCTCTTTTCATGGCTTCTATCGTCTCTATCTGCGAGTTTACATGCTAGAGTTATTCACTGCACTCGTTCGTATCAACTTTGGGGCAAACTACACAAGTTCTTCCAATCTAACATCATTGCGAAAGCGAGACAACTTAAATCTGAGTTGTACTCTACTGTCAAAGGAGATCGATCAATCGCGGACTACCTATCCAAAATTCAGACAATCACTGATGATCTCATGTCCATTGGTGAACCAGTTTCAGAAAAGGACCATATCAATGTGATACTTGAAGGATTACCTGAGGAGTTCGAGTCACTTGTGTCATCGATCTCTGCTCGCAGTACTTCTGATCCGGCTAAATATTCTGAAGTTGAATCTCTTCTTCTTGCCAAGGAACTGCGACTTCGCAAACTGCGTGATGCGTCACAAAATTCTCAGTCAACACTATTCTCAGCTAGTTTGGCTCGCCTTGAAGATCTATCTGTCAACAATCAACAACAAAGCAATCAATAACAAGTTAATCTGCAACAGAATTCTCAAGAAAGCTCAGTCTGAACATGCTCAACGTGGAGGAAATCAATTCAGAGGAAGAGGACGCAATTCTAATAAGAGAGGTGGCTATCATGGAGGAGGCAGATCAGGTGGACGCTCCTCAGTTACTTGTCAGGTCTGTGGTAAGACAAGACATAATGCACTCTTGTGTTATCATCGTTTCAACCCTAATTTTCATTCATCACAATCTACCTCAGGTCCTTAACTTACTCTCAATATCCTGCAGTATAATCCATCCTCTTCTAATCAACATATTCAATATTCAACACTCCATTCCCTCTGAAACCTCATCATCCAACTGGCAGCCTCATTTAAACACTTCAGGCTATCATCCATCTGCAGCTTGGGCTTATGCTAATAACTCTGTACTGGGAGTGCTAGAGATGACCATTGTGACCGATCTGATGGATACCCGCACCGAACCGCCCCGGTCAAAATGGGAAAAACCGCATTGACCGGGTAATAGGTACGGGGCGGGGAATATCCGTTTTGTTTTTACGGGTAATGGGGCGGTAACAGTTTTATGCATGCCCGCCCCATTACCCGCCCCGTACCCGCCCCGTTTATTTTTAGTTTTATTTTTATTACATTCTTATCTATTATTTGTCCCACAACTAATAAAAGATGAGATTTTTAATGTTCATTGTGTATATATGGATAATAGATGTACTAACTATAGTGTAAGAATGAAAGTTCTCAATAGAACTTAATAGTTTTGTTTGGTTATTATATGATTTTTCGTGATTAATTATTTTTCAGGTTAAGTATTTTTAAGTTCAAATTAATTTAGGTTGTCTTCTTTCTCGTCTTATAGATATATGAAGCTGTAAAGTAGCATATGAGTCTAGCGTCGTCTAGGTGATGTCATTTTTCGCATTTTAAAATATTATTTTTTTATTAAAATATCATTGTCTCATTTAATAAAGTGATTACCCACGGTTACCCGCAGTTATACCCGTTACCCGATGGGGCGGTTATGGTTCGGGTAAAAATTACCCGTTGGGTAATGGGGCGGTTATGGGGCGGGGGAATGACCAAACGGGGCGGGTACAGTTATATGTAAAACTGTCTCCGATCCGCCCCGTTGCCATCCCTAACTGGGACCTGCACCTAATCATCTTCCATCTTCTCCTCAGCCATGGTTCCCTAACTCAGGTGCAACACATCATGTCACCCCTGATCCTGTCAACATTCAACATCATGAGGCATCAGCTATGACTACTGATAAACTTTTTATGGGTAACAGACAAGGTTTGGCTATTAAGTCTACTGGTTTTTCATCATTCCTATCACCCTATAACTCCTCATATTCACTTACTCTCAAAAATATGCTATATGTTCCCACAATTACTAAAAATCTGATAAGTGTTAGTAAGTTTGCTAAGGATAACCATGTCTTCTTTGAATTCTATCCTTACGAGTGTTTTGTCAAATCTCAAGATTCTAAACAGGTTTTAATGCATGGTACACTTGACAGTGATGGTCTCTACAGATTTGAATCCTTTCCAGCTCTTACTCCAGCTTCAGAAGTCTCAGTTTGTCATCTCATTCAAGTTCCACCTTCCAGTTGTAGTCAGTTTGTTAATAAAAATGTCATGCCAGAATGTATTAATGATCAAGTCTATTGTAATAAGTCTGCAAATTGTCTATCTAGTTTACAATCTAGCAATAGTAATAATTGTAATCTTTGGCATCTTAGACTTGGTCATCCTCATTTTGAGGCATTGAAGTCTATTCTCAAACATTGTAATGTCTCTTGTTCTTCTAAAAATGAAATAAATTTCTGTTCTGCATGTTGTCTTGGTAAAGCACATCGTTTATCATCTCATACCTCTACTACCATATTCACCTCACCATTTGATCTGGTTTTCACTGATCTGTGGGGACCAGCCCCAATAACTTCTTATGATGGATTCACCTATTACATTTCTTTTATTGATGCTCACTCAAGGTATACATGGATCTATTTTCTCAAAAACAAATCTGAAGCACTATCTGCATTCAAAAATTTCTACACCTATGTTAATACTCAATTCTCTACTTCTATAAAATCAGTTCAATCTGACTGGGGTGGTGAATTCAGACCCTTTACTTCATTTCTTACTGAAAAAGGGATAACACATAGACTCATTTGCCCTCATACTCACCATCAAAATGGTGTAGTAGAACGAAAACACAGGTCTATTGTTGAAAAAGGGTTAACTCTTTTAGCTCATTCCTCTCTTCCTTTTAAATTTTGGGATGTTGCCTTTGCTACAGTAGTATATCTTCTCAACAGAACTCCCTCAGCCTCTATATCCAACTTAATTCCTTA